TCCTCCTCATCCTCATCCTCCTCCTCCTCCTCCTCCTCCCTCCTCCTCCTCCGCCATCGACTGTTGCAGGCCGCGGGCGGTTGGCGCGTCCCGTCCCCCCCCTAGTGTCTGGCCGTGCGGCCACGGTGCGCGATTTCACTCGCGCGACCCGGCACGAGGTTGCTGCCGTTGTCGGTCGCAGCGTGCATCTCGCAAGGCAATCAGCGGCTCAACTTTTCGGACCGGACGCAAGAGGGGGGATAGGGAAAGGGGTGGTTACGAAATCTGCTGCATGCAGCTGGTTTCAGCCCCACCGAGGGGCCCATTACTCGATACATGGGCGCCTCAGGCGCCGGCAGGCGCCGGGAAAGTCAGCTACGTGAGCCGATTCTCCCCCCCCCTTTGCGATCCCCCCCTTTCGCCCGGCCCGAACTTTAGTCTGCTCCGTCTTGGAGGTGCCGTTATTTTGTGTGCCTTTTCTCTTGGCGGCGGCGTGCTGTAGGAGGGAGTGCTTGTGAAAAACATCCGTCCCACGCGAAACCCCACCATGTGCGATTAGTGAGGCTCCCGGGAGTGCTGGAATGTTCGTGCAGCCCACACCTTTCTAAGGCACAGTTCAGACGCATCTCGACCCCATGGCATGTCATGTACTGGCCGAGCGCGCAACATGCTGTGTAAGCATTGGGTGTCGGGTCAGTATGGTCTTGCCGCCGCATCTTGTTGAGCACGACGTGGGGATGGTGTTGGGGATTTCTCGCTCTTGGCACGGGCGAGCACTTGGGGAGACGGAGCGCCGCCGCCGCAGCAACCTCATCGGCGAGAACACGGCCTGGGAGACGGAGGGAACCGAGCTGGAGACGGTCGATGTCATCGGACAGGCTTCCCGAGCGGGATCGCCCGCAGAGGAGAGGGAGGAGGACCAGAGTGAACCCAAGATACATTCACGAAGCTGCAGTACACCCTCCCGACCCAGGTCCCCATCCGCGTAAGTCCCTGTAGGGATCCCCTTTCACTGCGTGGAGCCCTTAGCCCACCTTGACAGAAGCTCGTCCTGGGAGGAGGCGGTGGAGCTAGGGGCCTGGGGTGGAAAACCAGGCCCGCCTGCGGGCCCGCCAGGGTCTCGAGGAACACCTCCCTGGTGACGAGCAGCCTTCCTCTGTCGTGGTGAGCTGTCCGCTCCCGACGCTCCGCCACCGCTCCGTGGGCCCGCCCTTCAAGAGGCGAGACCCCGACTTCTGCAGAGGGCCCGCTCCGAGGGGGAGAGGACCCAGGGCAGGGCTCGCCCTCCCCCATCGGGGGGAGGGGGCCTCCCCGCTCCGGCCCCGCGTGCCGCCGCCATCCCTCGAGGCTCACATGCTCGCCTCGTCGGCGCCACGAGAGAGGGCCTACACCTCGCGGGAACCTCTCGGGCGCACGCGGCTCTCATTCTTCCTCCTCCCTTTTCCTCCTCCTCCTCCCTCCTCCTCCTCCTCCTCCTCCTCCTCCTCCTCCCTCCTCCTCCTCCTCCCTCCTCCTCCTCCTCCTCCTCCTCCTCCTCCTCCTCTCCTCCTCCTCCTCCTCCTCCCTCCTCCTCCCTCCTCCTCCTCTCCTCTCCTCTCCCCTCCTCCTCCCCCTCCCCCCCCCTTCCCCTCCCCCCATCCTCCCCCTCCCCCTCCTCCTCCCCCCTCATCCTCCTCCTTCCTCCTCCTCATCCTCCCGACGCCCCCCCTGCTGTCGTTACTCGGCGATCCCGGCCAGCCGGGGGTCCAAGAGGCGCGCGAGACGGGCTTGGGACCCTGCGCGGTTCCGGGCGTGCCCGCGCCCGCGGGGTCCGCGGAGTGCCAGGCGCCAGCAGGACATCGGGGGGGCCGCGTGCGAAGCGCCTCGGCCCACGGATGTCGAGCCCTTGCGCGCGCTGCGGCGCAGGGGTGCTGGCCGGGCGGGGGTGGCAGCCGTGACCCCGCTCAAGGGCTGAGTTGTCCGTCCTCGGGTGGCGTTGGCCTCCTCGGGGGGGGATCGGGCTTGGGCTACGGGGCATGTGGGTTACGTCTCTATGTGTTCAATGTTTCTCCTCGCCGGCATCTTGTTGGTATCACGGGATACCTCGCCAAGGAGTTCCCCCGGAGGAAAACGAAAAATGGCACGTGATACTTGGCTGGCCGGAATGTGCACAGGAGGCGTCATGTGTGCATCGAGCAGTAGGAGGAGGAGGAGGAGGAGGAGGAGGAGGAGGAGAAGGAGGAGGAGGAGGAGGAGGAGGATCAACAGGAACGCGCAGACCTCCTCACGCCCGAAGAACCCCCCACCTCGCCTTCAGTCCCTCCCTGAGACCCTACGCCTTTCTCAGCGGGTGAGGGTCCCCGTGGTCCTTGGTTGGACTGGGGGCCCGGACCAGGGGGCTTCCTTACGGCAGGGGAGAGGCCCTTGCGCGATCCCACTTCGCCGAGTTTGGCCACGGCCCATTTTTCCTTGTGCAACTGCCAGCAGCCGCCGCCGTCCGCTCTTACGTCACGCCAACCGCCGCAGCTCTGCAGCTCAACAACTCTCCCCTTCCTCGCGGCTATGATGATGTCAGGTGTATCGCCCTCCTCTTCTCCCCCGCCCTGGACCTAGCTACCCTGCCCCTGGGGGGCTCTGCCTGTCGCATTGCTCATTCCCTACCTAGGCTCTGCCCAGAAGGGTTCTTACTCTCTTGGCTTAAAGGGCCGGGCAGTGGGCTCCGCCCCGGGCGGTTGCCCCAGTATCCGCCCCGCGGTTCCCCCAGTTTCGCCCCCTTTACCTTAGCTTTGCGTATCTCATCTTAGTTTAACTTAGCTTAACTTAGCTTAGCTTAGCTTAGTTTCATCTTAGCTCCGCTTAGCTGTAGCTTAGCTTAGCATAGCTTAACTTAGCTTGGCATAGCGCAGCATAGCATAGCATAGCATAGCATGACATACCATAACATAGCAACGCGCAGCATAGCACAGCCTATCATAGCATAGTGCAGCATATCATAGCATACCATAGCCTAGCATAACATAGCGCAGCCTAGCGTAGCATAGCATAGCGCAGCATAGCATAGCATACCATATCATAGCATAACATAGCATAGTGCAGCATAACATATCATAGCACCGCATAGCAGCAACGCAAAGGCAAAGCAACAGCAGCAACAGCAAAGCTACACACTAGCAACGCAAAGCAAAGCAAAGCAAAAGCAAAAGCAAAGGAAAGGCAAAGCAAAAGCAATGTGCAACAGTACGATCAGAGAGCCCACCCGGTGAGCGAATGCTAAAACATGCGTGTGTGTGTGTTTGTGTTTGTGTGTGTGTGCGTGTGTGTGTGTGTGTGTGTGTCTGTGTGTGTGCGTGCGAAGGCAAAGCAAAAGCAAAACCAAGCAAAAGCAACAACAAGCAAAAGCAAAGGCAACTACGACGATGAGGAGAAGGAAGAGGACGGCGTTTACCGTTACTACTAATGCTGCTATCCTAGGGGCTCCAACTCCTAGGTAGGGTCGCACTGGGGTTCATTTTTACATTTGCCCTAGTTTGATCGCCCCCCCCAGGGGCAATCGCCCATGGGGGGGATGGCTGCGTAACAGCTACCAGCTACCAGGAGGAGGATCCAGAGATAGTACAGCAGGCACACTAGATAAGAAATCGGCCTGTCAGTAGGTGCTCCACGACAATTTCGTATCCCCCGATGGCCCAGGGGACCGACCGAAGCTGTGGGACTGGTGCACCCCACGGCCTTCAAAAATATACGAATAACGTGCCCCAATATCTGATATTGCAAGATGTATCATCGTATGCGTCAACTGTAGGAGGAGGCGGAGGAGGAGGATAGGTAAGTTCGTTCCGATGTGTTCCCGCGCTCTTCAGAGAGCTGACAAGATTGCCCCACCAGGCCCATCGCCCGCCCGCCCGCCCCGAATCGGTCGCCACGCCGCATGGCTTCGGCCTTCTCGGACACGTTCAGGAGGCAAGACCGTGCCTGGACGGCGCACCGCTTGCAGATCTCTGGCCAACATGTCGGTCGATCTCCACAGCATTGGAGTGCCGCGGTCGGCGTTCTGGGGGAACGCGCCGATTTCGGCCAGACCCGGAGCCCTGAACCCCTGTGTTTGCCGCCCCCGACCCCTCCGGACGCCGCCGGCGTCGAGGTTCCTGCTCTTTGCTGGCTCGTGCGTGGGGCCAGCATGTACAGCATAAGCTGATGGGCCTGTTTTCCACCACCGCCACCGTAAGTTGGAGGGGGGAAGGAGGAGGAGGAGGAGGATGATGAGGAGGAGGAGGAGGATGAGGAGGAGGAGGAGGAGGCGGAGGAGGAGGAGGAGAAAGGAGGAGGACCCCCTCCCCCTCCAACTTATGGTGGTGGTGGTGGTGGAGAACAGGCCCATCAGAAGCTCGAGAACGGTGCCTCACCATCGCCGTCGCCCATGCCCGAAGCTACACGCGCTCCGTCGTGCTGGTTGCCGGGCGGCCTCAGGCGGCGGGCCGCCTGCCGAAGAAAGGACTGCGGGCGGTGGTGGCCACGTCCCGAGCAGAGCAGCACGCGTAACGACCACGACGTCACTGACGACGACGACGACGACGACGACGACGTCGCTGATGACGACGACGACGACTACGACGATGACGACGACGACGACGACGACGACGACGACGACGACGGCGACGGCGACGGGCGACGGCGACGGCGACGGCGACGGCGACGACGTCGCTGACGACGACGACGACGACGACGACGACGACGACGACGACGACGGCGACGACGACGACGACGACGACGACGACGACGTCGCTGACGACGACGACGACGACGACGACGTCGACGACGTCGCTGACGACGACGACGACGATGACGACGACGACCTCGCTCACGACGACGACGACGACGACGACGACGACGACGTCGACGACGTCGCTGACGACGACGACGACGATGACGACGACGACCTCGCTCACGACGACGACGACGACGACGACGACGACGACGACGACGTCGCTGACGACGACGACGACGACGACGACGACGTCGCTGACGACGACGACGACGACGACGACGACGACGACGACGTCGCTGACGACGACGACGACGACGACGATGACGACGACGACGTCGCTGACGACGACGACGACGACGACGACGACGACGACGACGACGACGACGACGGCGGCGGCCGACCTCCGAACACACAACTGCCCCAACTCACCCGGCCTCTCGGCCAGCTTGCCGAAACGAATGCAGCCCCTGGGAGCTTGCCTCCGTCGGCGAGCGACACGTTGCCCACAGGGCAAGCATCTTCGAACTTCGAACTAGCAAGTAGCAAGTGGCTCCATCCTACTCTCCTAGTCTGCGTGGCACATAGGGACAAACTGCACAACTCGGCGACTGATGACGCGCACCCGCTCAAGATCTCGCGGAACGCAGCGCCGCCACCACCATCACCGCCATGACGATGCGGCCTCTCGGCCATGCCCTCGTCTCCGGACTCACCAGCAGCCCCTCAAATGGCACGGGATCCTTCGGGATTGAATTCATCGGGGCCCTCGAACGCCTTGCTAGGCCCCTCGGTCTGGCTGTCAGCACCTACGGCCAGGCCTCCCTCGCACACCTCGCACCCCGCAGAAGGCCTGACGTCATCCTCGTCGCTCTCCCGACGGGTCGCTCACCTCGAGGTCGAGAGGATCCCTGCCCAAGACCTCCCCCCCGCGAGGCGCCCTTGAGGTGCATGGGAGGCGGATGGGCAGGCCTGCCCGATGCCTCCCCTGCACCTCGAGGAAGTCTCTTGGAAGGTGGCCCTGGCAGGGGGCCCGCGGCGCGCAGAGAGGGGTGCGGAGGGGGGGGGGGGCCTCCGGAGCATGCAGGGGGGCTTCCCAGAAGGGCTCGGAGGCTTCCCAGAGTCGAGGAGAAGAGT